TTCTTAGAAAACTTTTTTAAAACCCAACTCTCATGCCATTAGAAAGAGGATCATGAAAAACCTATAAAAAGATGGTTCATGAAATTTTAGTTCACTCATAAAGCTAAAGTCCGCTTGCTCTAGCAAAGAATGCCCACTGTGCCCAGGCAAAAATTTTTGCAATTAATTAATTATGCAAGCCCATTACTAAGTTTTTTTTCGCTTTATTGAAAATGTTCTTTTCTTTTCATTGTAACATAGAGAGAGTATTTCTCACTTTAGCATTGCCTGGTATGTGACAGTCACGCTGCTCAAAAAAACTTATACTACAAGTTCGATCGAAAAAGAGGGAGTGGAGATGGTGACAATTGTAGAACCAGTAATGAAAAGTACAGAAATAACGAAAGAGCCAGCTGAAGTTGGGGAACTGTTGAATCCAGATGTTAATACATGATGTGCTTTAATTATTAGTAATCAAACTAGTTTCTATTAGTCACAAAGCCGACTGTGTGAAAAGATATTTTTACCTTGAAAACTCGTTGACTCCACACAATCTTAGTGCAAATAGAATCAATCAGCTATGTTTTCTTCCCAACAAATTCGAAGTAGAAACAGACTGTGACGACTATTATACTTTTCAAAATATAATGCAGTCCATTTAAATTCTTATAACTTTTAATAGAAAAGAGCTAAAGAGCTGCAGTTTACAGTAATAGAAAACCAAAAGATGGGGCTCCTATGTAAAAATATGAGCAAAAATACTACCTCCAAGTGGTAAACCTTGCTTGGACATTTTGGGAAAGCTTGCACTTGACTAAAGAATGTTGGATTTTGTATTATTCAATATATACCTTAGAAAATTTTATATTGTCATTAAATGGCAGAGTTTCCCGACAGCTACAAAATGACTTAATTGGTTTTCTTGTATACCGCAAAATACTAAGGGTGTTACTTATTCTGGACCACCCGATATTTTTCTATAATGTCAGGAATTTAATAGATATTTTATCTCACGAGGGAAGTACCCCAACTAATAAATCGCTTTTCAACGAAACCGAATGGACTATAGGTAGTCGACGATGCTGATTCCGAATATCACCATGAATGCTGCTGCTAGGCCTTCAAAGATCGGTTTTCTGAAAAAACAGTTTTTGAGGAACTCTGATGAGCAACCAAAAGCTTTCTTAATGAGGCTTAATTGTAGTCCATAAATTTCTGATTAAAACGAGACATCTTCCAGCTCTACGCGACCTTTCTTTGCAAAGTTATAGAGTTTACAAAAAGGTCCTAAATTCATTTTTCGTTTTTCTTTCTGTAGCTCTGAGGTGACAATGAACATTTAGGGCTTTTCCTGTAAAATCTATAAATTTGCAAAGAAAGGTCATGTAGAGCTGGGAGATGCCTCGTTTTAATCAGAAATTTATGGACTACAATTACACCTTATTAAGAAAGCTTTTGGTTGTTGTTTAGAGTTTCTCGAAAACTGGTTTTTCAGAAGACCGATCTTTGAAGGCCTAGCAGCAGCATTCATCGTGATATTCGGAATCAGCATCGTCGACTACCTATAGTGCACTCGGTTTCGTTGAAAAAGCGATTTATCAGTTGGAGTACTTCCCTCGTCAGCCTGTTCAAAAGCCTTCTCCTGGCGAAATTATTTATCAAAAATTGATGCTGAACCCGTATCGTACGAATGTTTTTTATATGTAAGTGGAACAATTATTTGTGAGGTAAAATACTCTCATAATTCTTTATCCAGGCTCAAAATGAAGATATGCCAATTGATTTATTTCCATTTGGTGAAAAACAAGCTTTTACATATTCATCATGTCGACATTTGCACAATCCACGAAGTATATACATTTATTTTCAATTGTTAGAATGAATTTTAATATTCACTTTCTCTAAAATAGTTAAATATCAAAAATTATTCACGTATATTCAAAAGAGTAACGGGCAGCGGAATTCACAGAACTCTATATTGATAAAATTTTCAAGCTTAGTAAAAAAAAATTCGGAAATTAGCATTGCGTTTTTTTTAATTTGTGAAATTTCACAAATTCAGAATTGGCTATTCAACGAATTTAAAAATAACCATCGCGGATTTTTCTTAATTCAGGAATTCAGAAATTCAATTGATCTTTTTCCAATCCGAGAAAGACTCAACAATTCAAGACTTCAGAAATAAGCATCTTGGATTTTTCTTAATTCTAAAAAGTCAGAAATTCAGAAATCGAAATCATCTTTTCCCAGTTCGAGAAACATTAAACAATTCAGGACAGACACCTTTTAGTTTTTTCGAATGAAAGAGTACAAAACTTCAAACGATGAAAATGTGACTGTTTATGAATTTCTTGAACTCTAAAAGGTCAAAAATTCTGTGAATTTGTATGAAATCCGTTTGAACTCACAGATTCAAAATACTCACAAATCGACCAATTGTGTGGATCAGAGTGGACTGTAGCGTATGATTCAATGTTAGGTGGCGGCTCACTCTCATCGTCCCACTCCACCTCACACCGCACTATGGGTACAAAGAGACTTCTTATTTGTTATTCTCTCAATTAAAACTTATGTAGTCCTTCAATTCCTGAATACTAGAATTCCAAGAATTGTTCCAACCTATTCGATACAAATTCAAAGAATTTTTGTTTTTTTCGAAAAGTCACATTTTGAATTATTTGTGATGGTTATTCGTGATTTCTTGAATTCTTTCATTGAAAAAAGGCTTGATTTCTACTTCTGAATACTTAATGCTAATTTTGAATTCGTGGAATGGCTAATTCTGAATTTCTGAAATTACAAAAATTCGAAAAAAGCTTGATGCTAATTCTAGAATTCTTTCTGCTGATCTTGAAAATTTTATCAACATAGAGTTCTATGAATTCGGCTACCTCTTTATGGTTTAAAATGAATTAGTCAATCAACTATTAACTCAACATCCAATAGAAGATTCAACGATAGCATTAACGATATCAACAAGTCGTGGCTTAGTTTTATTACCAACACAATTTAATAGTCTAAATATTTTAAAATATCCATGTCTAAAAAAATTTAAAGATGATTTAAGATTACATATGACATGTAATCATCGAGGTAGGATGAATAACTTAAAATGATGCAAAAATATAAAAGAAAAATATTTTGGTTTTCTTTAAGATATGTCACCTGTTGATAATAAACTCATTGTATCTAGTAGTCATTTGTTGGATACCAATGGTATTAGAATAGAGAAACAAGATTTGAATGATGAAATTATCACATTAGCA